AATTGTTAGCATATTGAACAGCTAGAGGTAAACGGGTCTCGTTCTGCTCGGTTGACTACCTGGCACTGTTCATCAAGTTAGGTCAAAGAAAACTATTTTTTCTTTTCTGTTTCAATGCTAGGAATCATTGATTCATGTTTTATACCGTATATAATGCGTAAAAATAAGTTCTATTAAACTCTTGGGAATTTAGTAGTCTCCTTCCTATGACATCGGAGGAGACAATGGGTTTCCCCTTAGTCTGCCAGTCTATCTGTTTGTCCGTCCGTCCGTTTGTCCCCCTGCCTATCACTCTGCCCCGATTGGTTTTTCGCACTTTTTAATTATTGCTTGCAGATATTGAGCCGATGTTTGGTAAGTGATTGTATCTTAATGAGTTACAGATTAATTTTCATTTCGTTCTGCGTCATTAATTTTTTACATAATCATCGCATTTTCATTTCTTTTTAGCCGGGCTTATTGCTCAAAGAGCAATTGCCGGCTTATGTGATCCTGTTCAAGGCAGGATGTCAACCCCATAGTAGCCATTTTAAAGTTACGTGCAAAAATATAGTTCTTACTTTCAACCGCCTTTGAGATTATGCAAAAGCTAAATAAAGCAACAAAAATGAAACGAGGTTTTATCTATATAAAACATTAGTAGTAATGACTTTGAAAACTTCAGTCCTAAGTCAAAGAACATAGTTCATTATCGTAAGGATTTTTGATAATCAGTGTTATCGTAGTTCTCTACACATACGAGGTACAGCAGGAGAGGGAACCAGACTGGCCTGTTTGTTTACGTTCAGCTGCGGTACCAGATTAATTCTGATTCTGACAAAATCGGACCGTGGTATTAGGATTGAAAAACTCACTGGCAGTGTCTTATAATTTTAAAATATTTTTTTCATCAGAATATAAACGTGATTCATGTAAAAAATTCATTTTACTCTGTAAATGAGCCCGGCTCTCTGTACGTCTGAGTACTTTGATTTAATGATCCGGTTTGTCCTGCACTTAATTAATGTTACAAGCGAGTTTGTAACCTATCTCTCACCAGAGGGCATTTTACGCCCTGCTACAACACCTGTGTTGTTGAAGCTTGCAGAGTACATTCTTTGGTGAGAGATTGGTTTGTACCCTAAAGAGAAAAGGGGTCCGTTAAAGGACATGTATTGCTTCTGCAATGTAACAACCACGAATGACGAGGTACATTGCAAACAAAGATTCCTTCAGATTTAGATTCAGGTGAATTGAAAGTGCCATTAATCGATAACACCAAAATATAATCATCAGTTCAAGTTTTGTTATGTGAAATCAGGATAAATTCTTATACCTTGGAGTTTGCAAGAAAATGTTTCTCATTTACACGTAATCTTTGTAAAGCCACAGGATTTGAAGGAATTTACTCCAACCATTCTTAAGACATTATTTTTGATGTATTTTTAATGCAACAAGCAGTTCCTCAATTGTGCGCAGAATGCGAAGGATTTTACTACAGTCTGTCATTAAGGACAGATGATACAAACAATTTTTTCCTTTGAAAAAGATTTAATATCATGTCGCAAGTTAAGAAAAGTGGATGGTTCTTAGAATTTTTTCTCCGAAGAACTGGAAAATGAAATAGACTTGGAAAATGTCAGTAATATTTAAATCAAAAAAAACAAATATAGACAAATCACATTCAGTAAAGGTTTACAGATGAAAATAAATTTCAGAAGATGTCATCTTGGCGCTAAAAGTGTAATATAAACCTTAGAAAAATATACCAAGCCGAGTGAATTTTAAGAGGAAGATCAAAATGACAAAAATTTAGCAATATCACATAGGCTGATTTTTACCATTTAGCTTTTCCTAATTCACCTGGCTTGGTATATTTTTCTTAAGTTTATATTACACTTTAACACCATGTTAACATATTCTGAAAATTGTTTTCACCTGTAAACCTTTAATGAATGTGATTTGTGTATATATGTTTTTTCATTGAAATATTACTACCGGTAATATTTTCCAAGTCTTTTTCATATTCCAGTTCTTAGGAGAACAAATTGTAAGAACCATCCACATTTCTAAACTTGTGACATGATATTAAATCTTTTTCAAAAAAAAATTTGTTTGTATCATCTGTCCTTAAAGCAACGCTAAAGCAACGCTGGACTAGATGGGTAAATGATCATTAGATGTATTTATAATGAACGGCAAATTGAGGAAATGCTTGATAGATCGGGGCCAGGAATTCTTCTACAATATTTGATGTGAGACATTCAATTCATTTTGGATTATTTGTGTCATTTCCAATAGTGTTTTTGGTGATATATTGACAATTCAAACACTTATGTCATATTAAATTGTTTGATTCGTCATTGCCTTTCCAAGACTGTTTCTTTATTTGTCTCACGCTTCGTTTTTACCTGCAGCTGTCCAGTAAGTTGAAACTTATCAGACACCTACGCATAACTTATTGGCCGGTGAGCATGACAGTAATTTTACTGAATATGTTTTACAAAAGATGACGTCACAAAAATATTTTTAAGTAAGAAGCAAGGCTTACGTATTCCAATATTAAATTTATTTTAGGAAGAACATAATAAATAGTGTTATGAAGAAAATTTGACAATTAAAGTAATAAAACAGCTTAGCAATGATTTATTATCGTAAAATAAAATAAAATATATAACGTGTATTTTAAAAGACGTTGTTTCATCAATCAATACATGAGAAAATCATTGTACAAAATATCATGAAACGTTGCGTTTTTCTTCCTTTATGCGTTTTCTTATTTTATGAAAAGAATAATATGCTACGGATTAAAAAATTTCTATATAGTACACAGTGGTTTACAGAATGTTAAAAGTTGTTTAAAAGAAATAAAATAATTTTATAATTTGTAGCAGCAAAATAGACTAATCACAATATATACTAATAAAAATTATCAGCAAAAGAAAGGACAATATAGGGTAACGGCCGAATCTGTCCCCTTATTTGATGTAAAAATCAGAACACTGGTAAAATTATGATAGTTTATAGTTAAAGTTATAGTTAATGAAGTTAAAATGACTTTAAATTAACACTAATTTAGATTCAAATCGTAAATGGAAGCACTAAAGGGTGCAGAAGTAGGATGTTTTCCGGAATATTCTAAATTCTGGGGGAATTTCATCATATTTGAGATACTTCTCTCTTCGGAAAACATAGAGCACAAGCTTGCCTATCTGAAATTTTTACACATAAACTGCATCTAATATTTGTGTATAAAATTTATAAATTTGGTAGAGAGGCAAGCTTGTGCTCTATGTTTTCCAAAACAAAATGTGCTGTAAAATCGATTAAAATTTGCATACATGTAAAATGAGAAATATCGAAAATTGACCTATTTCCTGACCTCTCTGTGACCTCTATATGTTCTAAATTTAAGAATCAATACTCATTTTGTGGCAGGGGTGACAAACAGGTTTTTATAGATAAACTGTTGAACATTGTGAAAGACATCCGAAATTGCGGGCCAAATACTGGTCTTATCCTATCTTTCCCTCTAAGTTAATGTTATAAATGACAAATATTTAAACATCATGACGGTCAGAATACCGGTATTACAATTTATCAAGTTAATGGCTAAAAAAGTATAAGGTTGGTGTGAACTGTCAGGGAACACTAACTTCTCTCCATCTGATCCCACATCTGATGTTTTAGAGATCTGTGTTAGCTTTTCTCTTCATTTGTACCGCTTTCATTGATTGGACTTTTGAGCTAGAATACTGCTCAACGTTATATTTCATCATATCACATTCATACTGCTACACCATGGACTGTAAAGATTCCAAACACTATCGATATTGTCATTATTACCATGATGGATTCTGTGGCTACTTCCCGGATGTTGTACTCTTCTTGATGTCTACGGATAGGATTGCCGCTCTAGGACATGTGCTGTTAGTATGATGCTATATTTGCAAATATAGAAATCTAACTTTTATAAACAAAAAAGAATAATTAGGTAAACTAAAGTGCTTGAAGAGAAGCTACTGGTCTCAGTTGTTTATTTGAAATTTATGTTCAGATATTTCATTTGTTGAGTTTACCAACAAAAATAAAACACAAAAAGAGTACCATATATTCCGTAGACAATGTAAAAAAAATCACCGTTAATTATCTTTACTTCCCAAATATCATAATAAGAATGCTTTAAAAATAACATTTCTCGTGAAAGAACAAGTTGTCATCAAAACTTTACAAGTTTAACAGTTTTGGGCAGAACAGTTCTAAATGGATGGCATTAAATAAGGAAAGGAATTTAAACTTTATCAATTTTCGAGATATTATTAACGTTGTTTAAAGTGAAAAGTTCGCAAAGGCTATTATAATTATAGTGTATAACTTATATAACCTTTCATAATGTTTCATTTTTCTTTTCTTTTTTTCAATATTTTTTTCTATAGAATATCCCTTCTACCCGATCAATACATGGTAATCACGGAAGTAAGGACTGTCAACAGGGGATGTTTGCTATTCATAGCCATCTGATCCCAACTCTAGAATTATCAGGCCCCGTGTTTTACATACATTTAATTAGAATTTATTTTTCTTTGTATTTTTTCTTTCACTAAATTTGACTATAGAATATTCCTTCTACCAGATCAATACATGGTAATCACGGAAGTAAGGACTGTCAACAGGGGTTATTTACTATTCATAGCCACCTGATCTTAACTTGACTGATCTTTAGGCCCGGTGTTTACATTTACCCTGTTCACACGTTCGTATTGTTTGTAAAGTTTTCTTTATCGATGTTCACTCTGTTTTTCTTATATATTACTCCAGAAATCTCTGTAATTAGATTTTAATGTGTGCAAGATTCATTCTTTTAAATCACATATTGATATTATAATTAGCAATAAAAAAAAAATCATTGTAGTTTCGAAGGACATAATAAAAAAGGCAAACCTGATTCAATTTGAAATAATAATTTTACACCTTTATATCTGTATGTTTTATGTGAGAAGAAATTGATAATAAACTGTGATTTATGCATAAAGGCCATTGACAACAATTTCTCTGAAACCCAAGGCGTTTTTGCCGCCGCTTGCACTAGGGTCGTCTGTAATGTAGTTAGGACGGACTATTTTTACGGTTACATACGACCCATATACATGTAGGAGGGGTCTGGTATCACACTCTATGGTTTGGATTTCTCCAGTTTGACTCGGTCCAAGGAATCTGCCACACATGTTCATCTCGGACCAAACGGAAGAGTTTCCAGCTCTTATCTCAACACTATGAAGCCAGCGACCTAAAAAAACAAAAATTGAAACATAAATTTCTAATGAGAAATAAAACAGCTTATTTCAGATTAAAGCAACTAACGGTTTGAATGGTCTTACAATTTCCATCCTTAAAATTTTACCTTTGCATCCTTTTTTTTAAGACGGTACGCGGTCTCATGGGAAATTATTGAAACATTTACTTTAACTTAAAAAAGGACATAGATAAATTCATAAAACAATTCGTCAATACGTCATATAGAGCAAATTACACAAATGTGCAAAAGTTCCGGCGAAATCATAAATATGCATATATCTACTGACATCAACAACAGAGCAGCATGACTCTTTATTCTAACGTCATGTCAGGCAGCGATGTTATCGCACGTATAGCGATCGAGAGTCGTTTACTCTTCTATCTCTGTTATCGAATACATTCCAGAAATCAAACTGTCTCTTTTCTAAAACGAGGTAAACTATTGACAAACAAGTTGAAAAAACAAGAATATCAAACGTCTCTTACAAAGTCTTTTTCAAACTACATGTAATTGTTAGCCCATTTTTAAACACAGCGCAATGATATAAAGGCTTTAACTGCTTTTTGTCCCCAGCTTTCGCGAAAGCTAGGGGACATTAAATCTCATTCGTCTGTCCGTCTGCCCGTCTGTCTGTCAGTCTGTCCGTCACAAAAACTTTAACTTTGCCCATAACTTTTGATATAGTGGGCTATGACTTTCATGTTTCACATGTGTATTCCTTGTGAAAAGGCCTTTCTTTGGGTACCACCAAATTGGACCTTTTGACCTTGATCTTGGAGTTTGACCCACTTCTACAGAAAAATTCTGAACTTTTACTTTGTCTATAACTTTTGCTTGATTCATTGATTGTATCTTGTTTAACGTCCCTCTCGAGAATTTTCACTCATATGGAGACGTCACCGTATGCCGGTGAAGGGCTTCAAATTTTGACCTTTACTCGGCACTCAGGGCCATTGAGCAGGAGGGATCTTTATCGTGCCAACGCCTGCCGCTGACACGGTGCCTCGGTTTTTAAGGTCTCATCCGAAGGATCCGCAACTTTCACTCCAATAGCCGAGCGCATGGCGAAGGAACAGTTGCTACCCATTTTATCGACTGGGTCAGTCGCGGCCGAGATACGAACTCACGACCTCCCGATCACGGCGTAAGCCCATAACTTTTGAATGGTAGGTACTGAGACTTTCATATTTCACATATGTATTTTTTGTAGCAAGACCTTTCATTGGATACCCATAACGTTGACCTGTTGACCTTGACGTTGGAGATTTCCTTACTTATGAAAAAACTTTAACCTTGACCATAACTATTTAGTGGCAAGAGATAGGGCTTTCATACTTCACTTATGTAATTCTTATGAGAAGACCTTTTATTGGATACTAAATACTTTGACGCTTTGACCTTGACCTTGGCGTTTTAAATACTTTTTAAAAACTTTAACCTTGATCACAACTTTCAAACAGTAAATACTAGGACTTTCATATTCACATATGTGAGGGCTAGGTTTTTTATACTTCAAATATGTAATCCGTGTGAGAAGATCTTCCATTGGATACCAAAGAGTTTTAACCCTTTGACCTTGACCTTGGAGTTTGACCTACTTTTAAAAAACTTTTATTTTGGCCATAACTTTTGAAAGGTTAGGGTTAGGGTTTTTATTCTTCACATATCAACTTCAGTGATAATTTCTAAATAAATGACATATGATAGGTTGTTCATGTTAAACACAGTACGTCATAAAAAATGACATCTCACCCACAAGGACACCGAAAGCGGGGGACCACAATTCTTTGCATTTGCTTGTTAAAACGTAACACTGCCTTGCAAAGTTGATATTTTTTAGTTTTTTAAGATATGTAACTAAGCACACCATATTCATATAGAGACTTCTCTAGGCTTAAAATAAACATATTTGTTACGAAATCACAAGACCTCGTTGATCAGGTGAAGGTCATTTTACTTTTTGAAGTGTTTCACATAAATCGCTTAGGCGCAGCTGATTAACACAATTATTATTAACTTTTTGTCCCGTAAGAACACTCGTTGCATCCTTGTGAATCCGAAATGTGCTGAAACTATCCCTCAGGTACAAATATTTTACAATCACTTCAACGTTCCGATAAATGTGTGGGTATGCTCCGCTCAGTATCGAAATCCGTTTTAAAACAAAGCCATCATACATTTTTTTCCAAATCAAGATTCAGTAAGGGTGGAAACTCCTCTTACATATTTCCACAAAAGATATTAAATGAATCCTAATTAATTACCTGACGTGTTCTATGCTCATTTATACACATATCATGAATCCTGCTTCTATGCAGTGGTATAAAAAAGGATAAATGCGAAACGCATATTTTCGTACGTATTTGAACACTCTGACTTTTAAACAAGAGTAAAGCGTAATCAAGCAAAGTTATCTAAATTATTCGGATATAAAATTATTTAGATATTTAAAAAAAAAATCTAAGCACATTTATTTTAAACAGATTGACATTAGGTATAAAGTAAGTTTATAAAACTCGACCATCATTACAGCTCCAGTTTGTACTGACTTGACGAAGATACAAAATGAATTAGCCATGTATATTGAATTGCGAAACTTCATAAAAATCCTTACAAACAAAGATACATTAGGGGTTCCAGTACATGTTCAACCAAGCCTCTTTACTCCTCACTGAGATATTGACAGTAGTGGAGAAAAAAAACTTAAAGAGTACTGTGCAACAATATATTCAGGAAGTGGTGTGAATTAGATGTGGATACTAAGATATTCAACAAAGAACTTTTGGACAATATAAAATCACAAAATTTTACCAAAATCAACAGCTTTAAAAAAACTTTTCAACAACCATTCCCAACGGTAAATTAAAGTCCAGGCTTTTTGATATCATTGACAGCTGCTTTTCAAATAACAATGAAACTCGTATATTTTTTTGCCTGGTCACTGGTCATCTGACAAATTATTTTGTTATTACACATTCTGATTGCACACACAAGTACTCTGAAGTTGAAATCAAAAAGATGTGCGAATTTCTGACTGACAATATCTATGTGGTTTTTGGAGACCAGATCTTCCAACAATCTTTTGGAATCCCCATAGGTACCAATTGCGCTGTGTAATTAAATGACCTATTTTTGTATTCATATTTAGCAGAATGTGCAAAATCTTATGCATGAAAAGAAGAAAACTCTTGCAGTGGTCTTCAACTTGACATTTAAATATATCAACTACGTATTGTCAATTAACAATGAAAAATGCCATTCGTATATATGTCGAAACGATATGTATCCTGGTAAGCTTGAAATAAAAGATACAACAGAGTCTGACACAGTCTGACACATCTATTTCATACTTGGATATTTTACTTGAAAATTTTAAAAGGCATTCATGGTCAATTTAACAACCACGCTATATGATAAACTTGATGAAATTAACTTTTCAATCGTCAACTTCCCTTACTTATGCAGCAATATACCTTCATCACCAATAAAGAGAATTTTATACACAAGAGCTACTCTACGTGTGAACAAGTTTTAAAACGAGGAAAATTATTGACACGCAAGTTGATGAACCAAGAATATCAGCAGTCTCGTTTAAAGTCATTATTTCGTAAATTCCATGGTTGATAATGACTTTATTGGCAATTACAATTTATTATTGAGCCAAATTCTGACTGCCTTTTTTCAAACTAATTGTTAATGAGTCTGAATGACGACGGATTTTCCGTTTTTCCCGATAATGATAAGGAGCACACGGCGGGTGTGACTGGTTGGTAGGTGATGCTAACTCCTCCATGGCACCTGATCCCACCTCTAATGTTTCAAATATCTGTAGTCTAGAGAAGTGAATGCACAATAATATACAATTATGGACTCTTCTGGTGTTGAATACGGTTTTTTTTATTCGCCAGAAAATATTCATATTGGACCAGGCGAAGCCGAGGAAAATATTCATATCGACCGAGTTGAAGCCTAGGTCACTATGGATATTTTTCTGGTGAATAACAAAACATATTCAACACCATGAGTTCAAAATCACAATGAAAAATTATATGCATAAAATAAAAGTTTTATGTATCAAATTTTTCAATGTGATTTTGACTTCATGTTGTGCAAGCTTGTTAAGAATTAAATTAGAAAAAGGGAGATTTTTTTCTTTTAATTCTGCGCGATAGTTTGAATGTTAATATAGATATTCAATATCGGATACCGTGACTGTGCTGCGTACATTTACAAGTTTGTATACTATTGAAAACAAAAAGTAAGATATTTGTAAAATTTTCTTTGCTTTTATATAATTTCTTTGTGTTTTTCAAAATTATATCCAACTTTGTACTGAAAGATACTCGTTAAAAGGGAAATTATATATAATTTTGATAATTTAATTGTCTCAATAATTTTCAAACAACCCCTGTAATGACTTAGCTCGTGGTTAATAAGACTCATTTAGTAGCTCATACTTACCATGATCATCGCTTCTGGTGTAAAGAACAACATTCTTTACAATACTGAGTGCTCCTAGGTCTACCGTCAACCAAGGATAAAGTTCGAAGTCTGAGTGAAACAACTACTTATGTCAGTAAACTCTGTCGTACCATCCACGGCATTGTTTACATTTGTATATGGGGGATATGGATAGAGGCTGCTACTAGAGACGGTCTTACCAAGCGCCAGGTTTACCACTGAGGAAGAGAATTGCAAAAATATTAATTTATCAAATGACATTTTATAAAGATAAAAAAGATTAAGATACAATGTATGGAGCAGGGTTCGATCTAAACAGATCTATAAGTATATAGACAGTACACATTTTTAAAGAGGGCATTGAGCACAGTCCTTTAAAAATTCCAGATGTTGGAATGAGTGAGTATGAGGAGCAAGCATCCCTTATCTGGAGAGCAATGTCATCTTTTCTGTTCTGCGTCATCATTGTCACCATCCGTGATAATATGAAGTGTGGAGTGTCAACCCTTTGATACACTAGTAATAATTTATATTTGGTAATGATAGGGGCGTCTATTCATTAATAACATATTTAACGTTTTTTAGTTCTCCTCCAAAAACAACTAAGCTTGTCTTTTTTAAAGCAGGGAAGAACAAATAACATAATGTAAAGTTGAAATGTGCATTTATAAAAGTAAACAACGAAAAAAGTAAAATACAGAACAAAGGGGAGTTTGTCAGAAAAAGGGACTGAAATATATTGCATGAGTATTAGGTATTCCTATCTTAGGTAAATTATTGATCAATCTGGCCCCTAGCACCATTATCACATTGTTACATGGTGTACATAAGCAAAAAGGAGTCAACCAGACTTGGATATGAATTCAAACCCTGTATTCTCGCAAAAGTACACCATATATATTTTTCAAGTTGATTTTTATATGAACATTATTAGATTAAAAAACAGGATTTATACAAATACCCCAACTGCTGCCTGTCATCAAAAAAGGTTGGTAAAACTAAATAACAAACAACAAAAAAGTGGATGAAGGATATAGAGATAACGAAGGAAATGAGATGACGAACAGTATTTAATATCAAAGTCCATAAAACATACAAAATAGGATCAGAGCAAACACGGACCTCCGAAACATCAGAGGAGGGATCAGGTACCATGGAGGAGTGAGCATCCCCTGCTGATCGGTCACACCCACCGTGTGCTCCTTGTCATGATCGGGAAATAACGGAAAAATCTGTCATCAATTCAATGTCTAAATAATGTACTAACGTGTATAATAAGTATGGAAAATGTCATTTTAAAAATATTTATAATTAAAACTGACATCTGATCGTGAACAATTTCTTTCTTATATAGAAAACTATGAGTATAAGTCGGATTACTACTTGTAGAATTAAATCCGAGTTCTTCTACAATACAATTTATATAGTGAGCCTTACAAACAAAGACAATGTTGTTAGCTGTTTTGTCAGCAGGCACCAGTACGTACTGCACATGTAATCTAATTGGTTTTTTTTTCACTTCTGGATTATTGAATACTGATCCCGTGGGGGTCCGGGTTAGAATAGGTCCTCAGTACCCCTTGCTTGTCGTAAAAGGCGACTAAATGGGACGGTCCTTCGGATGAGACCGTATAAACCGAGGCCCCGTGTCACAGCAGGTGTGGCATGATAAAGATCCCTCCCTGCTCAAAGGCCGTAAGTGCCGAGCATAGGTCTAAATTTGCAGCCCTTCACCAGCAATGGTGACGTCTCCATATCAGTGAAATATTCTGGAGAGGGACGTTAAACAGTATACAATCAATCAATCATTGAATATTGTTATAGGTGGAAAAACAGTTTTCATTTCCCCCCTCGATCTTTTTATACGCAATTTTAACATGAATCTGATACATTTAATCCATACTGATATTAAAAAAATTACCTAAAGTATCAAATATTAAAAAAAAATATAATAAAAGGAGAGAGAAAAAAGTGAGCTTAAAGAATAATTATAGATATACCACATAAAACGATTTAATTAATGAATAACTGTCTTATTTTTCAATTTCATGAAGTGATCAATCAATTTGCTTGCGTTTATGCATAAAATTATCACGCAAGCCAATAGATTGATCGTCTTCATGAAATTCAACAATCTGACGGTTATTCCTTATATTTACATGCTTTGATTCCAACAATCCACGTGCTCCAAACCCTGCTTCTGTCTTAGCTGTTTGTCCCGCCCTGCACATGGTTTTTTAGATACATTGATGGGGAAATAAATTACATTTACATTTGGTAATTTTATCTCGGACAAAGACATTGGAAATGTAAATATTTTGTTCATAATCAAACATAGACTTAGGATCAGTTGTGGCTGAATGAAGATCGCGCCATGGCATCAAAGTTGGGATCATATGCATTACTACTAAACATTCTCCTGCCACGAAATCGAATTGCCACAAACCGATTTTTTTCCTCAAACCTCGAAAATATGTGTTTTTTACAGTATATGTGTATGTCTGATTGCCTTTGTCTTTTTCTGTAAAAGACGAAGAAAAGCAGGAAAGGAAACCAGACAGGTTTAGCTTTATTGGTGCTGATACTGACAAATTTGGTTTGTAGAAGAAAAATGCAGATGACCTTTACAGTATAACAGATTATCCAAATCTTACATGGCGTTCATAAATAAATTGATGTTGCCAGGTGTTTTCAGCTTACCTTCAATGCTAAAGTATTCCCAATCTTCACCGAGGACGTCTAACGCAGCTTTATCATTTTCTGTTAAAAATGTGTTCAACAAATTGCAGGATGCTCTTTTTGTACTGAACAAAAATCCAACGCAGATGGGATTTCTTTCTTTAAGGCATTCGACAGAACAATTTGTAGGAGTTGGAGCGATCATAGGATTAAAATGAAATGAAGAACTCTTTGCATTTCCATTACATATGAAAGCCTTGTAGAACAAGGCGTTGCACGCAAAATTAAAATCTTTTGCAAAGTTTACCTGCAAAACGAAGACAACACAAAGAAAATGTTTTATTCGGTGTACCATTTTGATATTTTTGAAGCAGGTAGATTTTTTCAACTTCTTTTTATTCCTATTGATTAGTAACATCGATCAAATTCTATTGAGTATTTGATTCAGTGATTTTGATGTGTTTGAATGCTTAGGATATTGCAAATTGTCCCTTTATTGCAAAGAATTGACTGCAGGGGTTTCCTTTCTTGACTGATATTTTGAAGATTGTTGATCCCATTTGAAGACATGATTAGTTTTTGTGCCTTCTGAGACTTTTTTCTGATTTCATACAAGATTGCAAATTATTTCTAAATGTTCATTGAGTCTTAGAGCAATGTATCATTGACCTACAGCAATTGGCAACATCTTATTAAAATATAGTCATAATTAAAGCGATTTTTAATAAAAATAGGTCGACGTATACATTGTATGTATGACATAACCCCCCCAAAAAATGTGTCAGAATTCATTACGTTGGAGAACTTATGGATATATAAATATCAGAGATTAACATATGTTCATAAAATTTCGGGTGTATCCTACTAAACGGGCCTCAGTAATAGCGTTGAAAGTCATACATTTTCAAGAAAACAGCATAAATATATCAGTGGGACAGCCATAGGTATATATCTATAAAACTCATAATAATTGCATATTTTTATATAATTTACGAATTACTAAGTAAATGGGTTATTCCAAATACTACTGAAAAAATTAAATAAATGAAAAAAATGGATGTATCACATTTCATATCTTTTAAAGAATTGAGAATTACTTGAAACTAGTTTTGTCAACGAGTACCCGGCTAACCGATTAACCGTCGAAGGATTGTTATTTTAGGTACCGTTAGACTTGATCTGGTGGTTCTAGTTGATCAATTTCTTTTGATTAGCTTCCAGAATTTATATAGGAGTAATCAATAGCTTTGATTTATGGTGGAATACAACTTTTAAAGAGTAATAAATACCTCATTTAATAATTGGAAGAGATACCACCGCAGACATATCAAGCTTGGTGTTTTATTGAAAGAACAGCTGATTCAAAATCTGTTTCATCAGTTTAGCTTAAAATATTGTTCGGAAACCAGCGATTTAATTGATACGATAATCCACAAACAAGAAATTATGGAGTAAATAAATAATTATTCTTTTTAATTGCGACATATTTTCCGGGGACTGAAAAGGAAAATATAACGAAAGTCATTGTTTAATGTTGATTGACGAGTATAAATACATTTGTCTTCTTCGTGTGTTGAATTCTTCTTATTTTTAAAAATCTTAAATCAGAATTCATTGACAAAATCATAAGCGTGTTTTGTAAATAATGTTCATATGCAGTATATTTTTGTTATTTACTATTATTATGATGATGAGTAAAGAATAAGATAGATAGAAGATATGGAATATTTTTTGAAAAATCATGTACCGGTGTTGTAGAGAAGGATTTCCCCCACATCCAGCTTTTCCCCCCGGAAATCGTACTCTACAGTAAACCCCCCCCCGACGGAAATTTCACACTAGAGCAAAATTTCCCCCCTCTTTCCTATTCAGAGTAGAGTTTCCCCACTCGTCTAGAGTCAATGTAAACCATAGCCACAATATTTTTGTGGAAAAAAGACAAACTGATTTTTAACAGGTAAATGAGTGTATTTTCGACTATTTTGTATGAATTTTCTTAGCATATATTTCAAATCATGAATTCTGAAGCAAAATATAGAGTTTTCAATGTCTTGATTGGTATATATTTTTGGACCTATTTTGGTTGTAAATGAATTTATTGATAAACTTTCTAAAACATTAACTCTAAAGATAAACTAGTGCTAATTGTAACGGGGACCCTTACAGATGTTCCCCAAACGCTCCCCAACTCCCTTTCGGTGCCATATTCCCTGTAAGCTTCATTAAATAAGAAAAAAGCGCTATGCATTTGAGAATTTAACAACGTTTACCCAGAAGTGTACCAAGTTCATTCAAATTTTAGCGTTGCACGCGTGAACATCTGAATGTATGTAAGTTATGACCATATCATCTTGTCTACACAATCTATATAATTTAATATACCAAATATTAAAGTATTTAATCTAAAAGTATTAAAAAATACGCTCATTCAAGAGGTTTTTTTTATTTTACTCATTTCACGTGCATGAACATGGTGAACATACCTTCTTGTAGAAGTCCATTACATCTATCTATGTTCTAAATCCCATCCCGTTTGGTTGAAAACCAAGGGAGTTATAGCTGTTTAAAGTTTAAGCCAATCAGATTGCAGCACACATACACACACGTGTATGCATGTGCATGGTGACCATACCTTCTTGTAGAATTTGATTATATCTATCTACAAGTAGAGCTTTTTAAAAAAGCTTTCCGTCTTAAGCAACAATCTTAAACATTAAACTGATCTACACCTATCAGGCCGTATAATTCTTTTGAATTTCTTGATTTTGTATTTCTACATTAGCTTTTTACTGGCATTAGCCCTACCACGGTTGTCGCTCGGTCATCTCCGTAAACTTTGACTGGCCGAGAGCTTTCGGCAAACCTCGGCTAATTCCATTCCCTTCTTCAAACAAGAAAGGGGAAAAGAATAGTAACAAATTGTAAAGCCTGCGAGCAATAAAAATCAAATTTTATGTATAATGAAATTAAAGAGATCTTTTTATTTATTGCTATACAAAAAATTATGTTATTAGGAATTAATTACTGCTGATTTTGTTGTTCGTTTTGTCATTTTTTTAAGATTGGAAATCTTGCAAAATTGTTAAGTCGTACGAAAATTAGATCATCAGAAAATTATCTCCCTTGCTTTGAACAGCATTTCAACCAATGAAATAACTGAAAATTTTCTCATCATGCATTTTCTACCAATCACAAAAGAGAGGAAGTGCATAGTCCGAAGACTGTAAAAAACTTCAACTATACAATACCGTCTTCCAAGGAAGACGGTAATGATCCAAATTCCATCCTGTTTGGTTGATAATCAAGAGAGTTATAGCTATTTAAAGTTTTAACCAATCAGATTGCAGCGCACGTGCATGCACGTGTTTTCATGAAAATTGCTATATATCATATTGTAGAATATCCTAATGCATGGCAAAGTTCAAAATTTCGAAGGATTTTTTCAAAAAACAAGAAAGATATTGAGACTATAGTTTCAGCCAATCAGAGCGAAGCGCACGTGCATGCGCATGAGATCTTGCTATTTTGACCATGTCATATTGTTTATGTTACTAATATATCCTAATATTATGAGCTTCAAAGCATTTCATCAAAAATGTAAAAAGTTACGCTTATATTCATTATATTGATCATTTCTCGTGTTGCACGTGCGCGCTCTTGCAAGCACGTGTGCGCAAAATGACCTTCGTTCCGCAAATCTACATAACATGTCTACTGACCCTAAAAACATTTCACCTTAGTCGGATATGTAGTTTACGAGATCATTCGCGGACAAAAAAGTGCCCAGGAAG